TCCGCACGGGACGAGGTGGTTGTTGGGGTCGGTCGTGGTCAGGTGCCCGGCCACAGCGGCCAAGGATGGTGGTGGACTCCGGCAGGCTCCTCGTTGGCTGGAGCTCGGCCAAAGTGCAGGTCCTGAAGCAGCGCCCATTGCGCTGCTTCAGGTGCATGGGCATCGGCCACACCTGGCCTGGTGTGCCCGTCCAGGAACGGAGAGGGGTCGCCTCTGCTACCGTTTGTGGTGGTGAGGGGCACCAGTCCGCGGACTGCAGCGCGAAGACTGTGCGCTGCGCCGTGTGCGCAGATGCGGGGCGCCCCTCAGGGCACATAATGGGCGGGGGCGACTGCCACCCGCCCGTTACGAAGGGGAAGACGGCCCAACGGACCAGGGCCGCCCCCAGTGAGAGTAGCCGCCCAGGCTGGGGAGGGAAGCGCACATGTCCTCATAATGGTTGGACACCAGCGCTTCCTCCAGGGGAATTTGAACCACTCGGCCGGAGCGCAGGACCTTTTCCTGCAGTCCATGGCCGAGTGGGAGGATAGACCTGGCGGCGGCCTGTGAGCCCTATTTTGTCCCTCACCAGCCGAACTGGGTGGGGGACCTAGAGGGCTCCGTGGCCATAGTGTCTGGGAGCGGCACCGGCCCCCGTCTCTCGGCAATCGAGAGGGGCCAAGGACTAGTCGTGGCAGGGTGGGGAGAGTACGTCATCGTTGCGGTGTACTTCTCCCCCAACCGCAGCCTGGCGGAGTTCGAGGTCTTCCTTGACTCCGTCCGCGCTGCGGTCTGCAGGCAGTCGCCGAGGCCCACTATCGTCCTCGGCGACTTCAATGCCAAGTCCTTGGCCTGGGGGAATCCCACGTCGGACGCTCGAGGGCGGGCGGTACAAGACGTGGGCCCTACTCTCCGGTCTGTCCCTACTCAATGTGGGGACGGCGTTCACGTGCGTGCGGCAGCAGGGGGGGGTCCGTGGTGGACCTAACGTTCGCCACCCCCGCCGTCCGCACGCAACGTGATCAACTGGAGGGTAGAGGAGGAGGTGGAGACCCTGTCGGACCACAAATACGTCCGATTTGAGGTCTCCACCCGTCCGGTGCCGATGGACCGCCCAAGGGGGCCCTCTCGAAGCGTTCCCGAGGTGGGCCCTGGGCCGGCTTGACACAGAGCTGTGCCAGGGAGGCGGCCATCGTCCGAAGCGTGGAGCTCCCAGGGGAGTGTGGTGGGCGCCAGTTCCGACGTGGAGGAACTGGCTGGCCGCATTCGCGACGCCCTTACGAGGGTGTGCGATGCGGCCATGCCGCGTGTAAGGGCGGAGTGACCGGCGTCGCCGGAGTGTCCTTTGTGGTCGCCCGAGATCGCACAACTTCGGGCGACCTGCAATAGAACACAGGAGGGCCTATGTGAGGTGTCGCAGGAGGAACGGCTTGGTCCCCGGACTTGGAGAGCGAGCTGCGGGGCGGCCTATCGGTCCGCAAAAAAGGCCCTGCAGCTCGCGATCAGCCAAGCCAAGGCGGCGGCCCGCCAGGAATTGTTGGCGGGCCTGGAATCGGGATCCGTGGGGGCGCCCGTACATCAGCGCGCGGAACAAGCTCCGCGCGCATGGCGCCCCGGTCACGGAGACCACGCCGCCCGAACGTCCTCCTGCGACTGGTGGGAGGCCTGTTCCCGGAGTCCTCCGGGCACGTCCCCCTGGTGATGTGTCCTCCCTCACGCCATGAGGGAGTCGACGAGTTCCCCCCAATCACCGAGGGGGAGATGGAGTTGGCCCGCGACAAACTGCGGGCCAAGAGGACGGCTCCGGAGAACGGATGGTATTCCGGGGCGAGTTCTGTGCATCGCCCTGGAATACCTGGGAGGGGATCTTCGGGACCTCTTCAACAACGCATGTCTTCGCGTTGGGCAGTTCCCGAAGATCTGGAAGGAGGGGTTGTTGTGCCTGTTGCCCAAGGAGGGTCGTCCTCTGGACTCCCCTTCGGCATACAGGCCAATCGTGATGCTGAGTGAGGTGGGCAAGCTCTTCGAGAGAATTCTCGTTGCCCGTCTTACTCAGCATCTCGAGGAGGTGGGGCCGGGCCTTTCAGAGGCTCAGTTCGGGTTCAGGGCGGGTCGGTCGACCGTGGACGCCCTGAACGCCCTGAAGGTTCGGTCCTTGGCCGCGGTGGAGGAGGGAGACGTGCTTCTAGCCGTCTCATTGGATGTGGCCAACGCCTTCAACACCCCTGCCGTTTGAGACGCTACGAGAGGCACTTCGGTATCATGAGGTGCCTCTCTATCTCCGGCGGGTGTTGGACGCGTACCTCCGCGACAGGCAGGTCGTGTGGACGGGGGCAGATGGGGTGGTCGGTCGGCGACGTGTCGACTGCGGGGTTCCACAAGGGGCCGTTTTGGGCCCGGTACTGTGGAACCTCGGGTTATGACTGGCTCCTGCGTTGTCCGCTTCTCCCCGGGCTCGGTGTCATCGCTTATGCCGATGACACCCTCGTCACAGCCCGGGGGCGCTCTTACGAGGAAGCGGCACGCTTGGCCACAGTCGGCACCAATCTTGTCGTCGACCGGATAGGGATGCTGGGCCTGAGGGTCTCCGTCTCCAAAACGGAGGCCCTCCTCTTTCATGGCCCACGCAGGGGTGCCCCCCGCAACGCCTGTCTGCGGGTCCAGGGTAGGATGGTGGAGGTACGGGCCCAGATGAAATATCTGGGCCTGACCCTGGACGGACGCTGGACGTTCCGTGTCCATTTCGCCCAGCTCACCCCCGAGACTGATCGGCGCCGCCTCGGCCCTCGGCAGACTTCTGCCCGAATGTCGGGGGCCCTGGATCTCACTGCCGGCGGCTCTATGCCGGCATCGTGAGGTCCATGGCACTGTACGGTGCCCCCGTGTGGATTGACGCCCTCTCCGCACCGAAACAGGGCCCAACTGCGCAAGGCGCAACGGGTCCTGGCGGTGAGGGCGGTGCGGGGATACCGTACAGTGTCATTCACGGCGGCGACGCTTCTGGCGGGCGATCCGCCCTGGGAACTCCAGGCGGAGGTGCTCGCCGAAGTGTACCAGTTTCGGGCGAGTGAGCGGGCTCGAGGGGAACGTCCAGCGCGGGAGGGAGTCGCTCGGATCAGGCGCCTAGCTGACGAGGCACTGATCCGGCGCTGGTGGGAAACCTGGGGACTCCAGCGGCTGGCTCGGCGACGGTGGGGGCGGTTTCGTCCGTTCCTGTCTCGCTGGGTCAGGCGGCCACACGGCGTCCTGACGTTCAGGTTGACGCAGATGCTTACCGGGCACGGGTGCTTTGGTAAGTATCTGTGTCAAGTTGCGCGTCGGGAACCGTTTGCCCGTATGCCACGAGTGTGGTGCGTCCGAGGACACCTCGCACCACACCCTCGCGGTATGCGCCGCTTGGGCTCCCCAGCGCCATGCCCTGATGGCGGTAGTGGGGTGGAGACCTGTCGTTGCGAAGCGTGGTGGGGGCCATGCTACGCGACGAGAGGTCCTGGTCGGCGATGGTCTCCTTCAGCGAGGCCGTCATCTCACTGAAGGAGACGGCGGAGAGGGAACGCGAGGCTAACGCCTTAGCAGACCCTCTTCGTCGCCGTCGGCTGGGGGAGAGGAGGCGTCGGTACGCCCATCTTCTCCCGCCACCCTAGAGGAGCTACTGCGGGGGGGTCTCTCGTTGACTCCCCTGCACGTCATCGGGGCGGTCGGGATGCCCTGCGAACCGAGGGCAATCCTGATTTAGGCGAGGCAGGCCCGCGGGGTACGGGCCGTCCGCAGGGGTGTTGCAGTGAATGCGCAAGCGATCCTGCACACCCCATTGCACTGCGGGCGACGGGTTCCGCTGTGGGTTTTAGTGAGTAGGAGTCTCACAGTACCCTACCCATTGACGGCCGGTAGGGTCCCCATGATGGGTTTCCCCAGCGATAACAAAAAAAAAAAAAAAAAAAAAAAAAGGTTAGGTTAGGTTAGGTTAGGTTAGGTTAGGTTAGGTTAGGTTAGGTTAGGTTAGGTTAGGTTAGGTTAGGTTAGGTTAGGTTAGGTTAGGTTAGGTTAGGTTAGGTTAGGTTAGGTTAGGTTAGGTTAGGTTAGGTTAGGTTAGGTTAGGTTAGGTTAGGTTAGGTTAGGTTTGCACGTCGGGAACCGTTGCCCGTATGCCACGAGTGTGGTGCGTCCGAGGACACCTCGCACCACACCCTCGCGGTATGCGCCGCATGGACTCCCCAGCGCCATGCCCTGATGGCGGTAGTGGGTGGAGACCTTTCGTTGCGAAGCGTGGTGGGGGCCATGCTACGCGACGCGAGGTCCTGGTCGGCGATGGTCTCCTTCAGCGAGACCGTCATCTCACTGAAGGAGACGGCGGAGAGGGAACGCGAGGCTAACGCCTTAGCAGACCCTCTTCGTCGCCGTCGGCTGGGGGAGAGGAGGCGCCGGTATGCGCACCTTCTCCCGCCATCCTAGAGGAGCTACCGCGGGGGGGTCTCTCGTTGACTCCCCTGCACGTCATCGGGGCGGTCGGGATGCCCTGCGAACCGAGGGCATCCTGATTTAGGCGAGGCAGGCCCGCGTGGTACGGGCCGTCCGCAGGGGCGTTGCAGTGAGTGCGAAAGCGATCCTGCACGCCCCATTGCACTGCGGCGAAGGGTTCCGCTGTGGGTTTTAGTGAGTAGGAGTCTCACAGTACCCTGCCCATGACGGCGGCAGGGTCCCCATGATGGGTTTCCCCAGCGTCAACAAAAAAAAAAAAAAAAAAAAAAAAAAAAAAAAAAAAAAAAAAAAAGGTTAGGTTAGGTTAGGTTAGGTTAGGTTAGGTTAGGTTAGGTTAGGTTAGGTTAGGTTAGGTTAGGTTAGGTTAGGTTAGGTTAGGTTAGGTTAGGTTAGGTTAGGTTAGGTTAGGTTAGGTTAGGTTAGGTTTTTTTTTTTTTTTTTTTTTTTTTTTTTTTTTTTTTTTTTTTTTTTTTTTTTTTTTTTTTTTTTTCTGTTCTAATACCTCTGACATAATCAGAGACTTTGTTTACATATCATCTTTATTGACTTGTATTTTGTGCCAGGATATAAATGTATTTCTTTACATTTGTATTACCTTAAAAAAAATATTATACTTAACTTTTCTTTAATCATAGCAACTTACAAACTAATAGCTCTTATGAACTTATAACTCTTATCGACTATTACTTATAATTCTCAAAATGATTTTTTTTTTTTTTTTTTTTTTTTTTTTTTTTTTTTTTTTTTTTTTAATAATAAAACTAATCAATCAACTAAACTAAACATTTTGTATTCTATTTATTTTGATTTACTGTTATTTTTACTAAATTTTTTACAATATTCCAAAAACTTATCTCTAATTGTATTGTCTTGTAATATTTTATTCAAGTTTTCCTCCTTTACATCATAATTTATTTCTAAACTCCAAATTTAGTCTCTCTTCTCAGGTACCTTGGGGCAGCTAGGTATTATGTGTAAAGAAGTTTGGTACACATCCGGGTTCGCAGTCGCACGACGGGCTGTCCTTGCACTTGTAATCTATTCAAGTAAAAGGAGAACCCGCCGTGTCCGCGTCATCAATTGGGTTATCAAACGGGTCCGTTTTTATTTCTTTTAATATTGGGTAGGCGGTTATTTGCATCCGGGAAAAATACTTTGGTGGTAGGCCGCTGTTTCAACCACTTTTATACCTCTGGTTCCATTCGTCAAGCGAATCCAATCGGATTTGTCGCTTGACGAATGAGGGACGGGGACATTTGCTATAATTAGATTTAGTTTTGAGGTTCGTTGCCGCTTTTGCCCTAATATCGGCGCGCTCATTTCCTTCTATCCTTGCGTGGGCCTTAATCCAAAAAAGACGGAAGGCCGTCCTCCTCCCCTCCGGTTATTCTCTTGATATTTGTCCTTGTTTCTACGGCCAGAGGATGTAGGGAATGTGGTGTTTTTTACAGTTTCTGAAGGCCGCTAGGGAAATCGCAGTACACATTAGTTTCTTCGGCGCCTCTCTGTATTGCCTGTTCAGTGGGCTTCCTTTAGCGCTTAGAAGTTCTGCCTGGTAGGACGGTGCAGTACTGATCCAATTTAAGTTTTCGGGTACTTATTCTCCGTGCCATTTTACCACAGAGACAATGCCCGGCCTACTTTCCAATCCAACTTACTGGCCATCTGTATAGATATTTAGGCATGTGGTGTTGTATTGGTTCAGTTCTGCCCTCGTCCCCCAGGCATGGGAACTGTAATTCTTCATATTCCGCCGGGTGATTACAAGCTTCCGAAGGGCAGACTGCGTCTCGATTCCCATATCGCCTACTATTCTCGTGGGGAATATAACTCTCTTTATAAAATAAAGCGAGGCTGCTTCCCTGACTCTTATGTCGAGAGGAAGCAGGCCCGCGAGCAGAAGGGCTGAATTTAGGAGATACTGTTCTGTATGCCTTGACAATCTTTTTGAGCGAAGCCTCTCTGCCACAACATCCAGACGCTTCCTTATTCCCAATTTTTCTGTTAGCGCGATGACAAAGCAACTCGCGGCCATAAAGTATTGTCGGCTCGACCACGGCTGAGTTAAATAGTGCGAATTATCTGCGGGCGTTGCAGACCCCACTGGAGTTTGGCAGCACGAGACAGTTGTTTATAAAGATTTAAAAGCTTTCCGGCAGATATAAACTGACGTGGGAGCTAAAGGTCCAGTTTTGACATCGATAATCAGTCCTAGAATCTTCATTTCATCGGACATGCCAATGTCGATCCCCCCATGTTACAGGCGTGGTGTGTCATATTTTAGTTAACGGGTAATTGTTATTGCGGTAGTTTTATGCGCTTTTGCGAATTTTAATTTATGTATGACACCCCACTCTTGAACATGTTGGAGGTGCGGCATTGGCTCGTTCTTTTCTATTTCTAGGGCTGTCTGTCCCGTCGAACGCCAGTACGAACGTCGTCCGCGAACGCTTGGCAGTAGTGACCCTTCTTTTCCAGTTCATGCAATAGTGGGTCAAGCAAAAGATTCCACAATAAGGGGCCACCTATGGAGCCTGGCTACACATTCCCTTAGTTGGTTCCCCTATCATATTCTCACCCGGGCGGTATTTAACTTTTCACCTTCCTATCTCTCCAAATAAAACATATCCACTACTCTTCGCAGGTTTAATGGGACATCTTTTCCTGCAGCCAATCGGACTCTTATGGGCCGGCCCGCACCATTGCGCTGTCGAAAGGCTCCCTCTAGATCTAGTGTGATACTAAAGTTATATGCGTTTCTGTTTTATTTTAGCATTCTGTATATGCTGCCATAAGTAGTATAGATGGGAGTCTTCGGTGCTCTTCTGGGGCATGAATCCATATTGGCGAAGTTTACTAATCCTTGGCACGAGATGGTATTGTTAATCTCGGCAACTATCATTTTTTTCGTAAATTTTCCTTAGCACAGGTAGTAGACCGATCGGTTCGGATATGATTTCGGTTCCCCCGGTTGTAATTGGTCGTTCCCGGTTTCCTGAGAATAAACTAACGTGGCTTCTTTCCATGGTTTGGAAAAGACTATGTTTCAGGCATTTATTGTGTTATGGCTCAGGAAGAGTTCTGGGTCATTTTTCAATGCTTGTTTACAAATGTCCGGCCGTTAAGCCGTCACCTCAGGGGGCCTTTTTCGCGTATAAATGTTATTTACAGCCATCGAGAGCTCCGCCCACTGTGTGAACGGTGAGGATCCCAGGTATCACTTTGGTGTCCATCGTTTATTGTTGCTGCCATTTCTCTAATATACTGTGTGATCTGCATTATCATTTGAAATAAGGTCTTCTGGATAGAATAAGTTTCGGCCAACAACTTGACAGAACCCTTCGCGTCCAAAAGCTTTCCTTCATGTTGCAATGGGAGATCTTCCTTCTCGTTTAAGTAAACTCTGCGCGATCACTCCCAAACCACCCTGTATATTCCTTATGCCACACTCCTTCCTTATCCTGCATTCCCACAAAATTCCTTCCAGCTCCCGACTTCGCGCCGCTTTTGCTTGCTGTTTTCATATTTTTTTTTCTGTTTCAGCGTACTCATCGACTACTGTTCGCTCTTACGAATTGGTGATGCACAAGCGGATCCTGTTCTTCAGTGTGGGAGGTCTCCGTTTCATCTCTTCATGAGCTCGTCGGACCCCCACGGGATGGTAAGTTTCTCAGTATTTTCCTTTTAGGTATTGAAATGATTGCATGCTTGTTCTATTGATTTTGTGTATTTTTCTACTATTGACGTCTATTTCACCTTTACTGTTAATGTTATTTATTTCAGCTATTGTTAATTTTTTGTTCCATGTTAAAATTGGTTCAGTTTCTCATTGAAACTGAGGGCCAATTTGCCTTGCGATGTGTTTGTATTTTCTAGTGGTTCTTATAATGTTATTAGTCGTTGATTTTTTCCCTTCTATCATTAAATACAATCCCGTTATGGTCCGAGCCGTGAGGTTTTCATCTACTCTCCATTCTTGTATCCTGTTAATCATGTTGCGAAGTACAGGCCGTTACATCGACATGGCTGGCTTATATCTTATCCCTCCTATGTATTGTGTCGAAAGTTGGAGTGTTCCCAACATTCAGCACATGGAGCCCCATAATCGTCGAGAGCTGAAACCCATTTCAGCGCCCCTATTGGTCATCAGTTATACTTCCCCACCCAGCTACTCTTTGCTGTTAGCGTCCCCACCTGATGACCATTTTATTATGACCCATTTCTTTGACTACTTTTTCTATATGCTCTAGGTATGGCTCTATGGGTAAATTCGGCTCGAAGTAATAGGACACCAGGGTAATTGTTGTGTCACCATCTCGAATTCCCACAACTACCACATTGTCTGTAGTAATTGCGGGTACTGCGGAACCTTAATATTCGAGTCGAAGACCACTATAGCGGCCTTGACTGTGCCTTCTCCCTGGTGAATACTCTGATATATCCTTGTACCCCGGTAGCTCCTCATACCTCGAGCGTTTACCACATACGGCTCCTGAAGCAATGCGATAGAAATTCCTTGTTGCGGGATTCGGTCAGCAACTCTATCGTAGCGAGTTTCTTTCTCTGGAGATTTGCTTGCACTATTGTATACCCCGGGACAACCTTAGCAATACGCTATGGAAGACCTGGCTAAGGCCTCCCATTTTCTACGCACCGGACACTCGGAACTGAATGCGTTATGGTCTACACTGTGATTTTTTGCTTTTTCGCAATTTGTACATTTGGGCGTCAATTTGATTGAGAGATCTGGGCAATCAGTTTTAAGGTGCGGTCCAGCACAGTGGCTGCATACATCGGCTTCTTCGGTACAGAATTTCCGGCCATGTCCATACCCTAGGCAGCGCGAGCACTGTATCAGGGGGACTGGTCGGCCACTCTTATCCTCCATATGTCCACGTGTACAACACCCGCTTCGGTCATTCTCTGCCAAATTATGGGTGAGACCCTGAGTACTACATGAGCAGTTAAGGGGTTCCTCGCTCTTCTCCTGAAACGTATCTCCATGCGATCTTCTTCTTGCTTTATGTCTCCAAGGAGATGGCGATTTTGCGCTCTAATGGCTTTAACGAGGTCATCGTCCGAATAGGACTGCATGATCCGTATAAGACCACTAGAGGATCCTTATTTTTGATGTCCTCTACGTTCAATTGGTTGCTACCCTTTTTATTTCTTTCCGCTACTTTTTTGATTTCTTCCTTGCTCCTACATCCAATTATCACCTTCCTGTCCTTTGCTTTCCGAATCTTGTCAACTGTTATCCAGCCTTCTTCGTCTTTAACAGCATCTTTAAATTTCTGGATAACTTCATCGCCAGTGTCCGTTTCGTTCGTAGAGGTGACAATCACCGAGTGGAGCGTTGTCGTTTGCGGGGGATTCTTGGCTGTCCGACCCGCTGCCACACTCGCGTACGTAGTGCCTTCAAGCACTTTCTGGTGGTTATCAATCTTGTCACTTAACATTTCAATTCTAGTAAAGCTGTTTCTTAAAAGTTCGCTATGTTCCTTCAATTCTCTACGAAGATATTCCCCAGTTTGTTCTATTCTTTGCGATTTTGGTTCTTGTATTTTGTTACTTGTTTCGTCGGTCTTTCTAGTCTTAAGCTCTTTCATTTCTCCTCTCAAGCTCAAAATTTCCTGTTGTGTTCTTTCCAATGTGGTGGTCTGTGTTTTAATATATTCTAATAATTCGTTAAGTTTGTGTTCGTTCGATTCTGGTTTTCGCATATCTATTTCCAAATTGTAGTCTACTGCTTCTCCTGTATTGATCTTAATGCTCTGCAGCACCATGTTATATAGACCTTTAGTACTTTTTTGTATTTCCTCCTTTATTGTGCGGTTTATATTTCCAGATTGATTTAGGTTAGTACGAATGTTGTCCACATGGTATTTAGTTTCAGCTAGAATTCTTTCTATGATCTTTGTTTGTTCCATTGGATTATTTAAAGTTTCCTGAGACTTTGAGGTCTTCTCTCGATCCGCTGATGCCACTTCTGTTAACCCTGAGTTCGATTGCGAAGAGTGCGCTTTTGTCAACTTCTTCTTTTGCTGGTGCGGCGCGACTCTGTGTAGTCATAAATTTGAGTCGAATTGGTTGAGGCTTTGTTCTGTCTCAGCAGGCACCTCCGTCGTAAATCCAGTGATGTCTATCGGATCGGCCGTTTCTATGTTGCTATTTAAAGCGATCACATAGGCTTCCGTCGGTGGGGTTGAAGGTTTCGCTTCATAAGTCACGTTTAGCTCGGCGGTCACTTCCCTGTTCGAGTCGGGGCTTGTGCTTTGAGCCCTCTTGGGGGCTTTTGTGGGTGTCCTAATTACAAACATGTTGCTTACGCAGTAGGATTCTAAAATAAAATTCCGAATACTTAGATTCTAAAAGGAGTTAGGTAAAAGTTTTTACGTGTGAAAATTCTGTAGGTTTTATGATTTTAATCTGCTTGTCTATTCCCGCAAACACCGATTGTAAAAGAAAATTCCGCAAAAAACCCTTCAAAAGCAAAATAAAATGACTTTAAATCCCCAAGGTCACTAAAATCTATATAGTAAATGAAAAAAGGGAGGGGTGGGGGGGCCTTTTTTCGATTTCCCGGTGTAAATCGGGGAAATAAACTATGGGGGTATATTTTATACGTAATTACAATGTATTTAAAACAATTTTAGACGAAATTTAGACAAAAATATTTTTTTAACGTAATTATAATATATAAATGAAATTTTTTAATTGAATTCTTAATGATACTTAGACTATGAAATAAGAAGATATACAACTAAAACTACTTAATTTAGTAACAACAATGCAATTATAAGCGAATTGAGAGACATTTCTAAAAATTTTATATATGCAATAATGTATGGAAAATTCTATCGCCTAAGTAACCTCGGTTTAGGTATTAGTGTAATTTTTCGATTTCCCGGTGTAAATCGGAGAAATAAACTATGGGGAGGTATATTATACGTAATTACAATGTATTTAAAACAATTTTAGACGAAATTTAGACAAAAATATTTTTTTAACGTAATTATAATATATAAATGAATTTTTTTAATTGAATTCTTAATTATACTTAGACTATAGAAATAAGAAGATATACAACTAAAACTACTTAATTTAGTAACAACAATGCAATTATAAGCGAATTGAGAGACATTTCTAAAAATTTTATATATGCAATGGGTTAGGTTAGGTTAGGTTAGGTTAGGTTAGGTTAGGTTAGGTTAGGTTAGGTTAGGTTAGGTTGGCGTGCGTGCTCGCGGGAGTAACACCCTGGGACCTGGATGCGCTTTCCTTGGCGTCGACCTATTGTCGGCGTCGAGGCCTTGCGTCCGGGGACCTCAGCCTAGCACAGCACGAGAACGAAGAGCGGGATGCCGCAATTGACGAGTGGCTCGCAAGGTTGGAGCACGCATCGGCTGGCCGGAGAACTATTGACGCAGTTCGCCCCGTCCTCAGGCAGTGGCTGGCGAGACGTCACGGCGTCCTCACCTTCCGGCTGACGCAGGTCCTCACGGGGCACGGGTGCTTCGGCGGATACCTGTGCCGCGTCGCCGGAAGAGAGCCGGATCCACGCTGCCACCACTGCCACGGCTGCGTTGACGAGTCGGCCCAGCACGTACTAGAAGAGTGCCCAGCCTGGGAATCGGAGCGTGAGGAGCTCCGAAGTGTTGTGGGGGCTGACCTGACGTTGCCGGCTGTGGTCTCCGCCATGGTCGGTAGCGAAAGGTCATGGGCTACCGTCCTATCCTTCTGCGAGGACGTGATGTCGCGGAAGGAGGCGGCGGAGAGAGAAAGGGAGGCGACTTCCGATCTCGCTATCCGCCGCAGAAGGACCGGGCGCCGGAGAGCGGCCCACGATCGCCGCCTCCCCCCCTAACACCAGCCAGAGGGCGGTAGACTTGGGGAAGTCTGCCGCCTAATCACCTGGCCCGAGTAGGCGCGCGCGGTGTCCCCCGCGTGCTACTCCAGACGTCGTCGTTGAGGGCGCTGCTCCCGCCCTCCGACACCGAGACGTGCCGAAAGGCAATCGCCGTCGGGGTTCGCGGATGATTCTTTAGTTCCCGTGGCCCCGACCAGGAGGCGAATGAGGCGGACACAGTCAGGTTTTAGTGGGTAGGCTGCCGTGCGTTTACCACCTTTTGCGCGGCAGGAGCCCACATAACCCGTCGTTCTTCCCAAGGCGGCGGGTACCCGGCAACAGGGTTTCCTGACTTAAAAAAAAAAAAAAAAAAAAAAAAAAAAAAAAAAAAAAAAAAAAAAAGGTTAGGTTAGGTTAGGTTAGGTTAGGTTAGGTTAGGTTAGGTTAGGTTAGGTTAGGTTAGGTTAGGTTAGGTTGTCCTGACGTTCAGGTTGACGCAGATGCTTACCGGGCACGGGTGCTTTGGTAAGTATCTGTGTCAAGTTGCGCGTCGGGAACCGTTGCCCGTATGCCACGAGTGTGGTGCGTCCGAGGACACCTCGCACCACACCCTCGCGGTATGCGCCGCTTGGGCTCCCCAGCGCCATGCCCTGATGGCGGTAGTGGGTGGAGACCTCTCCTTGCGAAGCGTGGTGGGGGCCATGCTACGCGATGAGAGGTCCTGGTCGGCGATGGTCTCCTTCAGCGAGGCCGTCATCTCACTGAAGGAGACGGCGGAGAGGGAACGCGAGGCTAACGCCTTAGCAGACCCTCTTCGTCGCCGTCGGCTAGGGGAGAGGAGGCGCCGGTACGCGCATCTTCTCCCGCCACCCTAGAGGAGCTACTGCGGGGGGGGTCTCTCGTTGACTCCCCTGCACGTCATCGGGGCGGTCGGGATGCCCTGCGAACCGAGGGCATCCTGATTTAGGCGAGGCAGGCCCGCGGGGTACGGGCCGTCCGCAGGGGTGTTGCAGTGAATGCGCAAGCGATCCTGCACACCCCATTGCACTGCGGCGACGGGTTCCGCTGTGGGTTTTAGTGAGTAGGATTCTCACAGTACCCTACCCATTGACGGCCGGTAGGGTCCCCATGATGGGTTTCCCCAGCGATAACAAAAAAAAAAAAAAAAAAAAAAAAAAAAAAAAAAAAAAAAAAAAAAAAAAAAAAAAAAAAAAAAAAAAAAAAAAAAAAGGTTAGGTTAGGTTAGGTTAGGTTAGGTTAGGTTAGGTTAGGTTAGGTTAGGTTAGGTTAGGTTAGGTTAGGTTAGGTTAGGTTAGTTTAGGTTAGGTTAGGTTAGGTTAGGTTAGGTTAGGTTAGGTTAGGTTAGGTTAGGTTAGGTTAGGTTAGGTTAGGTTAGGTTTAGGTTAGGTTAGGTTAGGTTAGGTTAGGTTAGGTTAGGTTAGGTTAGGTTAGGTCTAGGTTAGGTTAGGTTAGGTTAGGTTAGGTTAGGTTAGGTTAGGTTAGGTTAGGTTAGGTTAGGTTAGGTTAGGTTAGGGTTAGGTTAGGTTAGGTTAGGTTAGGTTAGGTTAGGTTAGGTTAGGTTAGGTTAGGTTAGGTTAGGTTAGGTTAGGTTAGGTTAGGTTAGGTTAGGTTAGGTTAGGTTAGGTTAGGTTAGGTTAGGTTAGGTTAGGTTAGGTTAGGTTAGGTTAGGTTAGGTTAGGTTAGGTTAGGTTAGGTTAGGTTAGGTTAGGTTAGGTTAGGTTAGGTTAGGTTAGGTTAGGTTAGGTTAGGTTAGGTTAGGTTAGGTTAGGTTAGGTTAGGTTAGGTTAGGTTAGGTTAGGTTGAGGTTAGGTTAGGTTAGGTTGGGGCTTACCTTTCTGCGTTGTTGTTGGATGTTTTGGATATTGTTACGATTGTTTATGTTTACTGGACCTGTTTGATGCACACTTGATTTGATTTTTGGCTTGGATATACGGATTTTGGATTTTACTTACGATTTGGATTTTGTGTGTGTTTTCTTTGTGTTTGGGTGTTCTGGAGTGTCTGAGGCATGGACTCAGACACGTCCGAGGGTGCGGACACCGACTCGTCCGTGGGGCGTAAGCGGGCCCACCCTTTACCGCCTCTGGTTAGTTCCTCCGGGTCTGACACAGAGACGGAAATGACGGTTGGCGCCAGAGTAGTCAAGGCGCGCAAGGAGGCGTCCCAGAAGGGCGCTGGAAGTGCAGGGGGTTCGGGCGTTGCTCGCGCGCGCCGCGAACTGAAAAAACTGGAGGAGGAGGACCGTGAGGTTGAGTTCGAGAGGCGTCTCAACCAGCGGACCTACCGAAAGACTGGCGCGGCTGCGCCAACGGACTCTGAGGCGTCGGGATCTGAAGCCCCAGCCCAGAGGGACCCGGCCGAGCAGACGGCCGAAGAGCTTAGGGAGCTCGCCAGCAGGAGCGTGGCGGCAGTTCTAGAGGTGGCCCAAAAATCGGGCAATTTAAAAGGGACCATGCAGAAGGCGCTGAAGGAGTCTGCCGCCACGCTGCAAAAGATTGTGGAGGCGCTAGCGGGGCGTACGGTGGCGGAGGAGGTTGCGCACCTCCAAAGAGACAATGCTCGCCTTCGCCGCGAGACGGAGGGGCTCAAGGCAGAACTCAAGGCGCACCGTCGCGAGTTCTGCGAGATTAGGAAAGAGTTGTCCGCGTCCAAGGCCGGTCCCTCTGATACCTTCGCGGGGGATTGGCTCGAGGAAATAAGGGCCTCCATTGTCGCCTCAGTGGGGACTTTAATTGACGCCCGTTTCGCCGGGATCGAGGAACGACTACTCCCGGCGAAGACCATGCGTCCCCCACTTGCGGCAGACAGGCGCCGCGAGGTTGCTGCGCCGGTGGCTGCCCCGAGCCCGGCCCCGAGATCCTCCCCCCGAGGCAAGTGCCAGCGCCGGCTGTGGCCATAGCAGACGGGGGTTCTGCAGCCCAGGGTGGCAAGGGAAAAGGGAAGGGAAAGGGTAAGGGGAAGGCTGTGGCTCCTGCGCGCCCGCTTCCACCTGCCCCTGTGGCGGCTGCCCGAGCTGCTCCTCCATCGCCGGTTGCTGGGCCGAGTCGCCCCGCTGCCCCTCAGGAGGACACCTGGGCCACGGTGGTGAGGAAGGGCAAGGGGAAGGGAAAGAGGACGGCCCCTCCCGCTCCAGCCACTGCACCAGTGGCATCGAAGGCCCCAAAGGCCCCCCAGGCTCCACAAAAGCCTAAGGTTCCCGCTCAGCCGCGTACGGCCGCGGTGATTATAAACGGTCCCGCAGGAGGCCGTCGCGAAGGGGGTCACCTATGCGAGGGTCCTGGAGAGGGCCCAACTTAGTGTGGACCTGAGGGAGCTAGGCATCACGGGGGGCCTTTCTGTGAGGGTGGCGGCGACAGGGGCTCGGCTCCTGGAGCTCCCTTCCTCCGTTGCGCCGGAGGTGGCGGACAGGCTGGCGGACAAACTCCGCCAGGTCCTGGACGGGCTCGCGAC